AGGGGGGAAAAACTATTAAATAAACTACGGTATCCCAAAGAAACATTAATAATGTAGGTTAAAACAGAATGCAATACAAAAGTTTGGAAAAACAAAAACAGTAAGGGCTCCATCTGCACTGCAGAAATAATCCAGTTTGACACCACTTTAGCTGCCAAGGCAGAATGCTATGGAAATTTGGGAATTGTGGTTTGGTGGGGTTAGAAATACATTAATGAATGGTTAAACCAACAAACATGTGCCTACCCTGCAGGTGCGGTTTTTACACTTTCCTTGCACATTTTTTATCTGAGACGCGTTTGGGCTTTCTTTGGGTTTTTGGTACTTGCTGAGAAATTATAGGTCTAGTTCTGGTTTTTAGCTACTTTTATTCTTTGCATTTTGGTTTATGTTGTGGTTTTGGATGACAACGTGAACTGCTCTGGTTGTCCTTTCTGGAGGCTGAAAGTGTGTGCATGTGTGTGTATCTGTGGTATCTATTTTGTTATCTCATTTTTAACCAAAGAACAAAATGCCACGGAGCAAAATATAGCACAGCAAAATATTTTAATGCATTTTTTAAAATCTCTGGGGAGAGAAACAAGGAATGTGGTTTAATTCAGTTGTATGTAAAGGCAGTTGTGTCTTCATTCAGTTGTGAATGAAGCCGTGAGAGCCACATTTTTCAAAGAAGGGTGTGTTTTGACAAAGACTTTTCAAGGGAAAGAGATTTCCAATTAATGCCAGTATATTAATTATTATTTATTCAGTCAGAGCTCCATCCTTCCTCATAAGAGCTCCAGGGCAGCTAACAAGCCAAATAAAACAGAGCAAATCATTGCTGTTTTGTGCCTTCAAGTTATCGCCAACTTATGTTGACCCTAAGCCAAATTTATCACAGGGTTTTCCTGGAAAGATTTGTTCAGAGAGGGTTTGCCCTTGCCTTCCTCTGAGGCTGAGAGAGTGTGACTCACCCAAGGTCACCCAGTGGGTTTCCAAGCCAGCCAGGGATTTGAACCATGATCTCTCCGGCTGCATTTGGGACGTTTATTGTGGCTCTCTGATAGAGAAAGCTAAATGTCTCACAAAACTACAGATCCCTAGATTCCATAGCATTGCACCATGGTAGCTGAAGCGGTATCAAACTGCATTAATTCTGCAGTGCGGATCAGACCAGATTGATGATGTCGGATCATTTAAAGGCTGAAGAACGTCTCAGTTATAAAAGTGAAGGACATTCACTGTTGCAAAGTACATCTTTTCAAGCGTGGGTGTGAATATTATGTAAATAACTCAAAAAGAGGCATGACTTTGTAGTGTGAAATATTTCCTCCATGCACAACTCTGGAAGGCAAATTTAGTTTTTCTTACCAGGGAAAATGTGTGGGCAGAGGGTTTTTTAAAACTTCGGTTTGATTGACTTTCAATAGGGCTATCAGAAACCACATGAGATTTGGACCACCCACTTTTATAATATTCCATTAATATAATAATCCATCATAATTCCAGGATATTGTTGGCAAGGGGCAGCAAATGAATTTGAATTTGCCTATGCAGTACTTTTCTTAGGAAATAAAAAAGGAAACAGGGTGGAAGGACAAAATGTGCCAACAAATTGTCCAAAAAAGGGAGTTTCAGCTTCCTCCATCGCACACAGTTACTGCTTGTGTTGATGAGAAATTACCTATTTTTGGCTCTGGAAGAGTTTGCTCTATTATTCCCAACATACCTGAGACTAGTAAGTACCTTTAGAAGGTTACATGGCTTGTGTCCAGATTATCTGAAATACTATATCTCTTTCTATGAGTCTGCCTGATTTTAAGACCTTCAAGGCAGAGTTGCATCTACACTGCAGAATTAATGCAGCTTGAAACTGCTTTAACTACCATGACTCCTTGCTATGAAGTTCTAGGATTTGTAGTTTTGTGTGATACAGGGTGAATCTCCTTTGGTCCAAAACACTGGAAAACATGGCCAAAAAAATGTCCAGTAGGCGACACTTGGAGCAAAAATCATATGAAGCATTCATTCGCCGGCATGCCATAGTATGTGCATTGGACTACGACTCTGGAGAACAGGGTTCGAATCCCAGCTCGGCCATGGAAACCCACTGGGTGACCTTTGGCGAGTCACACTCTCTCAACCTCAGGGGAAGGCAAAGGCAAACCTCTTCTGAGCAAATCTGAGCCAAGCAAACCCCAAGATAGTTTCGCCATAGGGCCGTCATAAGCTGGAAATAACTTGAAGGCACACAACAACAACAAAGCGCAAGAAGAAGAAGGTTTAGATGGCAGAAGAATCCGATTTGTGAGTGCTCAGATTTGTTCTTGGAAGATAGGGTTCCTGTACTCCAGAATCTCCTGAAATTCAGCACTATTGTGCCAAAGATGCCTTCTTAAATTTGGGCGAAACAATAACAAAAACAGATGACTAGTTCACAGATGAAGGGATGGCTGCACCAGCTATAAATCAATGGGTGCATGTGATGAGCACCAGACGTTTATCTCTCTTTCTGCCCCGAAGGCACATCAACGATAGACAAAGGGAAATGAAAATAGACAATAGCTTTGGAAATCCAGGACTTATTAATTTGAGCCAGAGTTCAAACATGGCTTCACCTTCGCTCCACAACTTTCAGCATGAGTGTGATGCAAGCCCTGAAGCACGGGAAGGCAATACTGCAAGTTGGGTCCCCCTTATCCGAAATGCTTGGGACCAGAAGTGTGTGGGATTTGGGATTTTATTTATGTATGTATTTATTTGGCATACAGGTATTTGCATATATACAGGTAGCCTTCCATATCCATGGATCCAACCATCCAAGGCTTGTAAATATTCCAAAAAGATTTGAATTCCAGTTTTTGAATTGACCATGGATAAGTCGACTCAGGTTTGCGGGTCAGTGTTTGGACCTAAATTTCTAGACATACACAAGTATATACAGTATAGGTAATCATGTTTAATAAACACATACCTAAAGTGATAACGCACAAATACATACTACAAACAAAATACAACATAACATTTTAGGACATAACAACGGATCTAACAACTAAACATAAACCCTGCTGACTTTCCCCTTCCTTAACCGATGGTTACATCCCCTTAAGTGCTACATTTCCTCTAAACAGTTATATCCTATTGTATAAACAATCTCAGTTCAATTTACAAAACCTAAAACTGATATATAACCTCAATGGGATTGCAAAAAACTAAATAAGCATTTCTCAGTCTTTTTTGAAATTGGTCAAGGGTTTCTGTTGTCATTTCCTCTCAATGTCCAAAATCCACAAGACAGTGATACCTTGTTTTGGGCCAACCAAACAAAGCGTCTTGTGGATTTTGGATGATACTGCACTTTGCTATATGGCCAACACGGCTACCCCTCGATATGTTTTCTAAATGTCCAGGGCTTGCTGCAGATCTAACAGGTTCAAAAACAAAGATGATCCTGGTTGTCTAGCATTAGGGGTGCTGGCTTTCAGGAAGGTTGGACATTGGGAAGCTCTTCCAATCCTCCAGTTCTTTCTATGGGAAAACATCCTTTTTTAACAAACGTTTATCCAAGGTATCGGTAGTTCATCCGTCAGCCGGCAAGTTCAAGGCATTCTGCAAGAGTTTTGGGACTGTGATGACTTTGTAATGTTTCCCTTGCACTCTGTCCTTTGGGGAGTGGCAGGGCAGAGACAATGCAATTCTCTCCTTTTGGAGTTGTTTGCTTAGGGTTGTGTCTCTTTTGCGTTGTGTTGGCCTATGTGTGCAGCTGTTTGAGAAGTGTTGCCTTTCTCTGTGCTAGCCCAAAGGCTGGCAGAGTGTTAGGGCCTTTGCAGACTGCCAGAAATAGTGCAAATTGAGTCCACTTTAACTGCCCTGACTCAGTGCTAGGGAATCATGGGAACTGTAGTTTATTGTGGCACCAGAGCTCTCTGACAGAGAAGGCTCAATGTCCCAGAAAAAAATACAATTCCCATGATTCCCTAGCACTGAGTCAGGGCAGTTAAAGTGGACTCAATTTGCACTATTTCTAGCAGTCTGCAAAGACCCTTAGATTCTCTTACATGCCCATGCAGAAGAAATAGCATTCATAGTGGTGATCGTGCATTTTCCAAAAAATCTAAAACTTTGAATCTACATCAGCGTTGCTCAAAGTAAGTGGCCCATGGGTGTGAGATTTTATCTATGTCCATTTGGATTTTTGTTAAGTGGCCTTGGTTCCTAGGGCTGCAGAAAAAAACAAGCTGTGAATTGAGAGAAAAAGATAATGATAACCATAATCATAGTCCTGTAAAGCAGTGGTCTTCCAAGTGTTTTGGACTTCAACCCTCTGGAGCCTTGGTCAGATTGTCCTGCCCTTGGGGATTCTCTGAGTTGAAACCCAAAACACTCGGAAGATGGGAAATGGCTAGCCTAAAACCGGCCGGTGAAGGATCCATCACCTTCCTCCTGGGGCAACAGGTGAGTGGGAATGTGCCAGCCTCTCCTCTGGCATTGCTGCCAACATGGTTGCCTCACTTCCTCTGGGTCGTTGCAAGAAATCCGGCTTGCTTGCGCACACCTCTTGGGCGACGTCCCGCAGTTGGCGTGGGGTGCCGAGTGACTTGGGATGAGTCTTGCTCTTAGAATTGGGAATGGCGGCGCATGACCAGGGACACACAGGAAATTGCCCCACCTTTAATCTGAAGACAAGAAGGCAATCTGGACCCAGTCTTTGCCCAGCTGTGTAGACTGGCATGGCCAACGTGGCAGGACTCCTCTCTCCTGCTGGGCATGGAAATGCCGATAATTTAAAAAGTGGACGGAGAAGATCTGGATGATTGAATGGGGACCTTAGGAATGATGGGGGACCTGAGGAAATGGGGACCTTAGGAATGTAGGAAGCACACAAATCAGTAGTACAGGGAGCACACAACTCCCCTCTTGCAACAGATATTGGTTTGCTTGGGGCAGAATTCAAAGTACAGCTGGTGACTTACACGGCGTGGGTCCCGGCTGTTTGAAGGACTGTATCTCCCCTTATGAGAGCCAGTGTGGCATAGCGGTTTGAGAATTGGACTGCAACTCTGGAGGCCAGGGTTTGATTCCCTGCTCTGCCGTGAAACCCACTGGGTGACCTTTGGTGAGTCACACTCTCTCAGCCTCAGGGGAAGGCAATGGCAAACCTCCTCTGAACAAATCTTGCCAAGAAAACCCCAGGATAGGATTGCCTTAGGGTCACCATGAAAGGCACGCAACAACAATATCCCCTTATGAGTCCATCAAAACTCTGCGATCATCTGGGGGCTGGAGACTTTGGGAGGATTAAGGGGCCACACTTTGGGGTCCCAGTGGCCACATGCAGCCCATGGGCCACACTTTGTCCATCTCTGGCTTACAGGTGGCCCCAGGACCTAAGAAAGACTAATTTTGAACTGTTAAAAGGCCCAACCTCCATGAAAGAACCTATAAATGGCCAACCCTGTGCTTCAGAGGTTTCTAGTAATGTAACAGGACATTATTGTTGTTGTTGTTGTTGTTGTTGTTATTATTATTATTATATCCCACTTTCCTCCTGACATAGGGACTCAAGGCGGTTGTTTCTGACCTATGGCAACCTCTGAAGCTGAGAGGATGTGACTTGCCCAAGGTCACCCAGTGGGTTTCCATGGCTGAGCAGGGATTCGAATCCTGGTCTCCCAGTATCCTAGTCCAACGCTTGAACCACTACTACACCATCCTGACTTTTATGGGTTTGGGGAGTCTCTTCTTCCTCCCTTGTCCTGAAAAGGGACAACCCTTGCCTTTTTCTGTTTGCCGCAAGAAATAGAAACCCTTCAGCTTTCGGGGTCTAGTTGGGTGGCGCAGTTTCTCTAACTCTTTCCAAAGCCTGTTTGGGAGGGTGAAGGATTAGTCCTGCTCTTGCCAAAGCAGCTGCCTCTCACAAATGAGCTTAACCTCTGCTTTCCTGCTGGGATGGAAATGCGATACCGTCCTTTGGAACAGGATCCCCAGAAAGGAGTTTGCTAAGATCCTAAAACTGGGGGAGAGAGGAGGATGAAGGGATGTGTAGCGCTCAAGGGCCTCCTTCATACCAGTAAAACTGTAATAATAATAATAATAATAATAATAATAATAATAATAATAATAATAATTTTTATGCCGCCTCTCTGCAGTGCAATAAGGCAAAGAAAAGCAGAGCATTGTTTCTTCTTCTATAGAAGTTTATGTGTTTAAGATTTAGAAATCCAAAATTTGAAATTGTTTAGACTTTGCAGATAGATGTAACGTTAACAGAGACTGGTGTTATCTTGAACGTCATTATAGTAGGAGCTTCTGAAGACAAAAGAGTCCACTTCATCAGGTATTAAAAACTTGGGAAAGTTGCTTTTTTGGACTACAACTCCCACAATCCCTCAGTCATCATGGCCATTGGAGAGGTTGGGGCAGCTGTGATCCAAAAAAAGTAACTTTTTCCAAGTTATTGTGTCTGACATCTAATAATATGAATAGACAATGAGTAGTCATTTAAAAAAAATTAATAATATGAATAACTGTTTAAAAATTAAAAATAAAAATAAAACTACCACTGAGATTTCAGCCTGTTTGGATCTGAATATAGTACCTGTCCCTTGCCCTGGGATTTTTCTAATACTAGAATAGAATCCTAGAGTAGGAAGGGTTCCCCAGAGGCCATCAAGACCAATCCCCTGCTCAGTGCATGATCTCCAGCTAAAGCATCCCCAGAAGCAGGGAGCTGTCTAACCTTTTTGGGAAGACATCCAGGGAAGGAGACCCCAATTGGTTCCATTACCAAACCACTCTTATTGTCAAGAGGTTCCTTCTGATACTCAATCTAAACCTAACCTCCTGTGTGCTTCCTATGCTTTTTAAAGTTTATTTTAAGTGGTACTTTAAAGAGGCACTTCACCTTGCCCAACGGCAAGGCTGTCCCTCCAAAGTGGAACCACGTAAACCAATGATGGAGAGATCATCTGATTATCCTCCGTTGCATATTTGACATTTTTCTTCTGCCCTTCCTACCAGGAGCTCAGATTGGCAAGCCTGATTCTATCCTTACAACAACCCTTTGAGATAGATCGGCCTGAGAGCCTACTATTTCTTATTGCTATTATTATTATTATTATTATTATTATTATTATTATTAGTGTTACTTCAAACCATTAGACCTAGTCCTATCCTCTGGGGCAGCAGAGAGCAAACCTGCTCATCTTATTGGGGCATCATAAAGTTGGGATGTCAAAGCTGGGACTTGGCACATTTTTAAAATTAAGACAAATACGGTAGTTGAAACCTACCAAAATCAAATCAAAAATATTTAAATCAAATTAAAGTGTAATTGAGCCATCCCTAACATTTAAATCCATCTATCAATAACATTAAAACCATTTAAAATGCAACCAAATTAAAATGTAACAAAAATAAAGTAAATAAGTAATTTTAAAATTGCAATTAAAAACAATACAGCATTTTTTTTAAAATCCCTTTCTTTAGAAATGTTCAGTTTTTAGACTCTTTTGGGATAAAAAGTCTTCACTTGTCAATGGAAAGATGGCAAGGAAAGTGCTACTCTGATTTCCCCGGGAAGTGAATTCCAAAGGCAAGGCAGTCACCAAGAAGGCCCTGAAAATGCTGTTTGGTGTCAGGTTGCCCAGAGAGTTTTGTAGCTATGGATTTGCCCCTTGATCCCTGACCCTGTCCTTACAATATCTCTGTCCAGGAGGGCGGACTTTACTGTTCGGTTTTGCTATAGCGTGGATTCAGCGATGGAAGAATTGCAGCAGGGAGAATTTGCCATCTGGGTTCAAAGGCCAGCTTTTGTACATGTGCGCCGACACGCTCAGGACGAAATTGTGAAATACACCGAGTATATTTTGACAGCGCTTGTTGTGGTTATTTTTAATACCTTGTAAAAACTATAGCAACATTATTAAAACAGATTAGATAAGCAGGTGTTTACAAGATAGAGATATGTGCCCTTGGCATATGTTTGCAGGGCAATGGCCTGTTTTGTGGTTCACAAAAACAATTAGGTTGTGTTTGGAGCTGGCCAGAGCAAGAAGTACCCTTCCAGAGGCATGTGGTCACCCATGGGTGCTTTTTGGAGACATCTATGGGTGTTGGGTTTGTTTGTGTATTTTGGCACATGAATGACTTGAGATTCAACAATGTTGTTGTATGGCAACAACAATAAAATTAAAATAAATCAGGAAACAAATAAGAAACTGGATTGCAGGGACTTGAAATACAGTGGGCCCTTGGTGTCTGCTGGGGCTTGGTTCCAGGATCCCCTGTAAATACCAAAATCCATGGATACTCAAGTTCCATTATATATAAAATGACATAGTAAAATGGGAAAATCAAGGTTTGCTTTTTAGAATTTTGAATATGTTCAAGTCATGGATGGTTGAACCTGTGAATAAAGAATCTGTAGATATAGAGGACCGACTGTAGTCTGGGTGCATTTTCATGTAAGCTATGTTTTGTATTAACTAGGGTTTGTAGTTTAAGTTGTGAATTACATGGAAGTTCCCAAGCAACTTTTGTCCCCAAACCATGCAGAAAGCTCCCTCAAGACATCAAAACATAAGAAAATAATCCTTCACCTCTATAATCCCCCCAGATTGCCCATGTTGTTGTTGTGCCTTCCAATTGTTTCTGACTTATGGTGACTCTATGGCAAACCCATAATGGAGTTTTCTTGGCAAGATATGCTCAGAAGAGGTTTGCCATTGCCTTCCTCCGAGGCTGAGAGAGTGTGACTTGCCCAAGGCCACCCAGTGGGTTTCCATGGCTGAGACAGGATTCAAACCCTGGTCTCTAGAGTCATAGTCCAAGTCTCAAACCACTACTACACTGGCTGGCTCTTATCATCCCAGATCCCCATACTATTCCCAAATACCTCCATTTTCCTCTGCAATCTCTCTCAAAATAGTGACTGGAAAGTACAGCTCTTCCAGTCGCCATTTTGAGAGGGACTACAGAGGAAAATGGAGGTATCTGGGCTTGCTGTGGAGGGTAGGCAGCCTACGGAGAGGGCAGTCTCCGAAAAATTGGCCCTTGGCCTCCACACAGTTGCTCGTCTCTGGTGTAGAAAATACGGAGGAATACTAGGAAAGACTTGGAGAAAGTCAGGTGGCTTCCTAAATTTCTAAAGATTGGGAGGAGACCACAGCTCAGTGGTAGAAAGGTATTTGGGCTTGGCGTAAAGGGAAGAACCTAGGGAGGAATTGGTCCCTAATCCCCATGCCTACCCCACACTAGATAGAAAAACCCTGTCAACATTGTTTCCAAGCCTACAGGAAGCGGATTATATGAATCGGATGCCATAGATAGAATTTGGGGATCTGTAAACTGGGAAACAGCAGATGGAGAATATTCCAGCAGCATCCCCACTGGTACCTTGCTCTTGATGGTCACATTGAAGATTTTGACTCTTCCAGCCCATCCAGGTCGAGCCAGCTCTTTCTGGTATCTTTGGCCCCAAATGTTTGCAATTGTTTGCATTGCATCTATGAAATGGAGAGGACAACCTTTGAAACCACGATTTTTATAGACATTGCAAATGTCATTGTGACCTCGGTTTGTCATCTTGCTGCATGCTGCAAAGCCGACTCAGAGTTAATGGCTGCGTTTTCCGACTTCGTTGTGCACCGAAGCATTAACCATGGAGGTGTTAATGATGTTACATTTCGAAAGTGATATAACAAGCATGAACATAATTTCTAAAAAAAAAAAATTATATATAATGTGCAACATTTCCCAGTTAGCTTTGAAAAACATTCAGGGACATTTTTAAAGGCCTTTGGAGTCGAATTTATGCTTTTCTTTTATATCCTTTTTATTTTAAGGGCAAGAAAAAAAATCAAATAGCATAATGGCTGACATCCTATTAGTGGCATACAATTCCTATGTTGTGCTCTGCAAGCAGGCCAAATTATTCACCGCAACACAACAAACATACTCTGCTGACAGCAACAGAAATGGAGTTGCGCATAACAGCGACATTGCGCATGTTGGTTGTGCATTGCATTGGCATATTGTGCATCACATCGGAGCATTTTGTTGGTGCATGGGTATGTGTTGTGCAATATTGCTG